ACTATACCTGGTAGCTGCACTATAGCTACCCTGGGTCTCTATACCTGGCAAGGTGCCAACTACACCTTTCCATTTAGATGATGCAAATGATGCAGATTGCATTTCTTGCATCACCACCCCTCGACGCACCCTCCTCCCCCAGCATGTGCCGAGTTTACGTGTACCTTTCCCGGGCCACCCCCCCCAGACCCCCTAACTACTCACTTCGTTCGCCAAACACAACTCCGCTAGCGCCTTCTACGCCCACAGACCCCCTAACTACTCACTTCGTTCGCCAAACACAACTCCGCTAGCGCCTTCTACGAAGGCTGGCTTTCGTAACCTAAAAAACATCATACTTCAGGAAAAAAAACAATAACATCATTGTGAACCCAAAACTCCACATTGCTGCAAAGCCTCTGGACAACGGAGAAAAACAATATAGAAACAAGCTAAGAACACTAGGATTTACCATGGGTCGCTGCTTTGTGACAGCAAGTATTTTCAACGACAGTTGAAAGACTCAATTAACAAAAACACACACACACACACACCTACAACGTAATCCTGCTTAAGCACTGCTTACGCACACTCCGATGTCACCATGAGCTTACTCAACTTTCCACAACTCGCATGTTGACATAGGCACAGTGATCTCATGAGCAGGCATTACCTGCCCGTGCAAAGAGCAATTTTTGGTCATGTTCACTTAAGCGGGTTCCCACGCCTCCTGTGCGTCGGCGCTAGACTTCAACGCGGCATGCATCTCCGCGAACAACCTGGGCACTTGAGAGTGCACCCATAGGAGATAGCTCAGTCTTCCTCGAAACCCAATGCCAATGCTCCATTATGTAGAAGACCCCAGAATACCCTATCTTTGGCTGTGCAATCTATTCCAATCGAGGCTCACCCGAGTCATTCTTCTCCCTCGAAACCCTTGACACCCTTGAGGGCAATTGGGGTATTGCGTTGACCTCTGTGTCTACATGTGTGACAGTCAGTGTTGTTCTTTGTGCCTCAACAGGCCCCGGGCTCCATCCCTTGGATGTGAAGGAGCCGATTCCACCATCACCAATCCTTTTAGATTCCAAAAGCGAACCAAAGATCCACCAGGTGAACATATGTGAAAATATAGGCTGAAATCTCCATGTCGACCAGGTTCCAATTTACCTTTGGTCTTTTGATTCTTTTTCATTAACGTCTTTGGTGCTACTAATCAGAAAGCCCCCACTCAGTTCGGCTCAAGAAGTCTTTTAACCTAGGAACACCTCGTTGAGCGGGCCCTCCGTCTTCAACAACGCGTCCAAGCGATCCAGCTCCACCTAAGCATGACTGGCGGACGCAAAGATACGCAAAGCCAAACACTGCTGCAGGTGGAGCTAGGCCCCCACTGACAACCCGTGTTGGCTCTGAAGTCTTTGCGCATTTTTTGCATGGGCCACGGCCATGCTGGGGCATGGAAGAAGGGATATTATAAGATGCCATGCAAGACGTCTGCTCTGAAAGTCATCTGAGTCATCTGTGTCAAAGGGAAAAACCGTGAACATCATGAGTTCTCTGCACTCTCCCTTCTCTCGATGTTCATCAGAAATAATTACATTGAACTACTAAATTCAGATGGAACTTTGAAGCTTGAGGTGTTCTTCAAACACCTTTAATTGGGCACCTGTGGGCATGGTATTTCCAGATCGACATGTTCGATACTTCAGAAAGTGGTCTGTAAAACTTCTTGAGTTCAGTGGCTCAACCCCAAGCAAGCTCTTGGCAAACATCAACTTTGTTCTACCTCAATGGGGCTATCAATGCATCTGCTTGTATGAGTGATATTATCATCTACATGTGCAGAAAAAAGGAAACGGAAACGATTTCGTTCTGTATGAACAAACCATCACAATCTTCAAGCTGTTCCAGCAATCTTCAATTCCCTTTGATAGAAAGGACAACAAATTGTAAATTTCAAGACGATCATACATCATACCTAACGAATTCCAGTATTCATGCCTGTAACCCCCTCTGGTCAAGTTATAGCAATACTTGGACACTCACACACACACAGCTGAGTCTGGCATCAACTCCCTTTAGTGCTCAACCTGTTCATGGGAGTCCCTCGGCCGTCTGCTGGTCAGGTCCGTAGTTATACTTAGATAAACATACCTAAACCATCTTAAGCGTGTTTAACATTTCTTAAACCAAGATTTAAGTACCTCGTGGAAACAGTGAAGACCGGGCGACTGCAGCAAAAGCTCACTTTTTGGACCAGCTAGCCACGCGAGAGCTCCCATGGAAAACCATTCAACCAAGGAACAAGTCTACAACTTCCACTTGGCCCAAAAAAAGGAGAGCTCTACTTGCACTTCTCCAAGGGATTTGGCTCTTCGATTTTGATCCGCTTGTTGGTCTGTCCCTTACCGAGAGCCCCGCTTCGGCCAGGATGATTTTCTCCTCCACCTCTTCGATCATCTTCCTAAGGTTCGTTTGCGTTCGATGAGAAACGAAGACAAGCCTTGGTACTGCGGGATTGTTGCCAAGCCTTGGTCAAAAGGAATAGTGTGTGAGGGGGGTTACAAGTCACCAGGCGTAATTCACGTACAGCATTAGCATGGTACCATCAAAGCGGAATCCGTGATCAAACGGACAGCTCCCAATCGTGATCAAGCTTCTTGCTGCGCCTCTGCATGTTCCATTCCTCAGATGCGTTACTTCTGGCCCTTCCGGCTTTCGGGGCACAGGGGTCCAAAGTCTCAGGCCCCCGGTGCACGGCGTGAAGGACACCAAAATGTAATAGTAACAAGAACGCTACTATAGGCTCCTGGCCTTACTACAGGGAGCAAGGACGCTACTAGGGGGCTCCTGGCCTTACCACTACAAGCAAGGACGCTACTAGGGGGTCCCAGGCGGCCATACTACTAGGAGCAAGGACGCTACTAGGGGCTCCTGGCCTTACTACTACTAGGAGCAAGGACGCTACTAGGGGCCCCTGGCCTTACTACTAGGAGGAAGGACACTACTAGGGGCTCCTGGCCTACTACTAAAATCTGGCCTTACTACTGGGGGATTCTGGCCTTACCACTAGGAGCAAAGACCCTACTAGGGGCTCCTTGCTTCTCTGCAGCCTCGCCGGGTCCCCAAATGGCTTTCCTGGCCTCACTACTAGGCGCTCCTGGCCTTCCTCCTGGAAGCAAGAAAGCTCCTAGGGGCTCCTGGCCTCACTACTAGGAGCAAGGACGCTAGGACCGCCTGGCCTTACAAGGACGCTAGGGGCTCCTGGCCTTACTACTAGGAGCAGGACGCTAGGGGCGCCTGGCCTTACTACTAGGAGCAGGACGCAAAGCCTCACTACTAGGAACAAGGACGCTACTAGAATAGGGGCTCCTGGCCTTACTACTAGGAGCAAGGACGCTAGAGGCTCCTGGCCCTCCTTGCCTTACTAATAGGAGCAAGGACGCTAGTAGGGGCTCCTGGCCTTACTAAAAGGAGCAAGACGCTAGTAGGGGCTCCTGGGACGCGGCTAGGGGCTCCTGGCCTTACTAATAGGAGCAAGGACGCTACTAGGGGCTCCTGGCCTTACTAAAAGGAGCAAGGACGCTAGTAGGGGCTCCTGGCCTTACTACTAGGAGCAAGGACGCTACTACGGCTTTGGCCTTACTACTGGGAGCAAGGACGCTACTAGGGGCTCCTGGCCTTACTACAAGGAGCAAGGATGCTACTAGGCGCCCTGCCCTTACTACTAGGAGCAATGGGGGCTCCTGGCCTCGCTACTAGCAGCAAGACTAGGAGCAAGAACGCTACCAGGTGCAGCAGGAAGGGGCAGATCTGCTGGTGCTTGATCTCGTAGGTGTTCTTCAGTGCTTTGAATCTCAGGATGTGTTGCTCCGCTTGGGCAGCTTCCACCATGTTTTCCAGGTGCTTCTGCATTTTGATCATGTCGATGGCTGGTCTCGAGGTCGGCTTGAGACATTACAGCATTGAAGAAAGGGCCACTTGCCCTCCGGTGTAATGACTTGGCTCTTGACTGCCTGTTCCCATTCCTGACTGTTCTGGGAGACCTTTGCTAGGGTGAGCATACGGTCCAGGACTGTCTGACAGACCAGCTGGAATACTTTGAGGGGTTTTTTGGCCTTGTTCATCTCCATGTCCTTCTTCCAGGCGGCAGTGTGAGTCATCAGCATGGGGAGGATACCCTGCTGGTTCGTCTGAAAGAAGAGCAGCAATTGATCCGTGGATGCTTGGGCTTGGAGCTGAGACTCGCGAAGGCTCAAGGCAGTGAGGAGGCTCACTGTCTTTTGAATCCTGTCCAAAGCTTCCATGTTCTCCTGCGATGCGAGGCTTCGTCGGGTCGTCCCCTTTTGTGACTGGGCCTGGAAGTAGTGTTGAATAGTCCCCCAAGTGCGTCCTGCATTTGACCCATCATGTCGTCCTCGTGGATCTCGAATGTGGCCATCGGTCCTCTCAGTAGGAGGTGCCTTTGGTTGCAATTGGGCACGATGGAAGGCTAACTGAAGGGCTGCAGGACAGTGTTCCACCACACCATCAGAATCTAAGCAGTAGCGGCAGCAGTCAAGACGTGGACTAGCGCAGCTGGTGTAAAGCTCAATTGCACTGGCTGCCAATGTGGCATGACTGGTCATGAGATGCATTTCAACTTCAGCGAGAGGAAGTTCAATCTTGCAGAGGATGCATTGAGTATCGAGGCTCGAACTCACAACAGGATCAGCCCAGTAGGTGTCCAGTACATCATCCATCAGCTTGGTGTCCTGGCTAAGGGGAATCGCGGCAGGACAGGCAGAAGTGCTCACTTCTGTAGGTGGGGATGCTTCTTGATTGGCAATCACTTGGAGCATTGCAATTTGGTTGAGCACCACACATTGATGCCCTTTCTTGACAATGCGGTTGCCACAATAGCATGGACGTCCCATTGCTGTGGCCTGGGTCTGCAAGTTCAGGCTCTTGGCAGAGGCTTCCTGCATCAAGGCGGCATGGTCTTGGAGGTGGTGCTGCTGGAGAGCACCTGGTTTCGCACAGTGCCTGCCACACAGAGCACAAACCGTGCGGAGAGCTTGGACAAAGGCTGACTTGCGCAAGATGAGGTCCGTCTCTGTATTCTTTGCCAATGTCATAAGTTCAGGCCAAGTTTGTGGTATCTGGCTTTTCAAGGGTCTGTTGGGGTTGAAGGCTCTGCAGCATCCAGTCTCAATCTGACGCCTCAAAGCAAAGTGATTGCCTTGGACGCACTGGCAGTGTGCACAAATTGGCGTGCCATCAGCCTGTCACGACCTGGATGGTACGTGTTGATGGATTTGATTTGGAGCTTTGAGCAGTTCTTGGTGTCGTACGGATTCTCTGGCTTGATTCTGGGATCTGCCAGGGATCTTCAGGCTTGGATGGCACAGGTGCAATTGGTTTGCCCTGCACAATGTCCTTGGCATGGCGGTTAGTAGTACGGCCATCTGCCTGATCACATGACAGGCATGGTCTTTCGTCATGGTGGAACCACAGGCTTGACAGGATTTGGCATCACGAAGAGCAAGGACGCTACTAGGGGCTCCTGGCCTTACTACTGGTAGCAAGGACGCTACTAGGGGCTCCTGGCCTTACTACTAGGAGCAA